GCCACTGCACTCCAGTCTGGGCAACAGAGTGAGACTTTAATTCAAAAAAAAAAAAAAAAAAAACACAGCCAGGCATGGTGGCACTTGCCTATGGTTACAGCTACTTGAAAGGCTGAGGCGGAAGGATCACCTGAGCCCAGCAAGTTGAGGCTGTAGTGGCCATGAGTGTGCCACTGCACTCCAGCCTGGGAGACAGAGTGAGACTTCAACTCAAAAAAAAAAAAAAATAAATAGGGCAGTTATTTGATAGTCTGCCCTATCATTTCTGCCCTACAGCACCCTTTGCTATTAAGATCTTGCATCTCCTTGGACCCCATGCTAAAATGAGAATTGTTTTACATTATAGAAAAATACCCATTAAAATATTAAGCCCACTTAAACCTTGTTGCTACCTGGGCTGTTTGTAGAATTCGATTTACCTCCCCAGTAGTTAATTGTCATTGGTATCACTTCATAGCAAAAATAACTATGAAAGTTTCAACCCACCAGACTATCAAATAGATTGGGTAGTGAGTGCCATTTATTGTACACTAAGAAATAACCAAGTCGTTCTTAAATATCTTTGTTATCCGGGCTCGGTGGCTCAGCCTGTAATCCCCTGCCTTTAGGAGGCTGAGGTGAGTGGATTGCCTGAGCCCGAGGATTTGAGACCCGCCTGGGCAACTTGGCGAGACCTCATCTCTACAATAAATAAAAATTAGCCGGGCGTGGTAGCACTCACCTGTAATTCCAGCTACTTGGAAGGCTGAGGCGGAAGGATCACCAGAGTCCAACAGGTTGAGGCTGCGGTGGCTGGGAACGTGCCACTACCCTCCAGCCTGGGTGACAGAGTGAGACTCCAACTCAAAAAAAAAAAATCTTTGTTAATGTATCCTTCCTAGGATTTCTCATTCTAACCTCTTCATAGGAAGCAACTCTCCATAACATCCTTTGTGACCAGTTGTGTCCCTACCAATACGGCAAAGTAAACTGGCTGCCCTGTTAGAGCCAACAAATAAAAAATATACAATAACGATATTAATGTTCTTTTTTTTTATTTTTTTATTTTTTTTGAGTTGGAGTCTCACTCTGTCGCCCAGACTGGAGTGCAGTGGCCGCTCCCGGCCACCGCAACCTCGGCCTGCTGGGCTCCGGCAATCCTTCCGCCTCAGCCTTCTGAGTAGCCGGAATTACAGGCATGCGCTACCATGCCCAGCTGATTTTTTGATTTATTGTAGAGATGAGGTCTCGCTGCCCAGGCGGGTCTCGAACCTGCGGGCTCAGGTAATCCACTCACCTCAGCCTCCCAAAGGCGCGGGATTACAGGCTGAGCCACCGAGCCCGGCTTAATGTTCTTTTTTTATGGCCCCTTGCCAGGACCAGCAATTTGCTCCAAAGTTTGTTTGTTTTTGTTTTGTTTTGTTTTTTGACTTGTAGTCTCACTCTGTCGCCCAGTCTGGAGTGCAGTGGCCGTTCCCGGTGGCCTCGACCTCCTGGGGCTTCAGTGATCCTTTCACCTCAGCCTTCCAAGTAGCTGGAATTACAGGCGCGCGCTACCACACCCGGCTCACTTTTTTATTTATTGTAGAGATGAGGTCTCACAAATTGCCCAGGCGGGTCTCGAACCCGCGGGCTCAGGCAATCCACTCACCTCAGCCTCCCAAGGCATGGGATTACAGGCTGAGCCACGGAGGCCAGCTTCTTTGTTTTTTGTTTTGGTTTTTTTTGAGTTGGAGTCTCACTCTGTCGCCAGATTGGAGTGCAGTGGCCGCTCCCGGCCACCGCAGCCTCGACCTGCTGGGTTCTGGCGATCCTTCCGCCTCAGCCTTCCAAGTAGCTGGAACTACAGGCGCGTACTACCACGCCTGGCTAATAGTTTGATTTATTATAGAGATGAGGTCTCACCAATTTGCCCAGGCGGGTCTCGAACCCACGGGCTCAGGCAATCCACTCACCTCAGCCTCCCAAAGGCGCAGGATTACAGGCTGAGACACCAAGCCCAACTTTTTTTTTTTTTTAATCAGAGATGAGGTCTCACTATGTTGCTTATACTGGGCTCAAACTCCTATACTGAAGCAATCCTCCCGCCTTGGCCTCCCAAAGTGCTGGGATTACAGGTGTGAGCCACTTGTCTGGCTCTCCTCTGAAGATTCTTACCTGTGTCTTTAAATGGCTCTTGATCACTTGTCTACACATCTAGAATTCCCATTTATTTATTGAAAAGTAGCATTCTTTATCTCTTTGTTTTGCAAGTTCAGCTTTTCAGACATAGCTAAAGTGTTCCAATCTTTCTAGCCATGGGCAATTCTGAGCTGCAGATTAGACTACAAGTGGTTTAGGTACATGTTGTCTTTAAGCAAGCAAAGAAGAAAACTTCGAGCTCTATTCAAACTTGCTGAAGTGTGGTAAATTTATGATGAAAGCTACTGACTGTATTACACATGATTAATTCTGAAGCCCATATTAAGATGATCTTTTCAGCAGTTGATCTTCTAACCGAACACTGTTTCAAGGCTGGAATTTCAGCAATTAATCAGTTCAGAATTGCTAATGATCCTGGCAGAAGGCAGTGGCAAAAGGGGGGGAGTATGTCATTAGCTTCCCTAGCCGGCCTTTTTTCAGTGCCCTGTGGCAGTATGGAGTGAGGCAGCATGAAAGAAAGCTGTTCTGACCTCCGTTGCAGTCTTGCACAGCACGTAAATACTGGTGGGGGTGGCTATGGCTAGTTAATGATGGCCCTTAGTAAACAAAGTTATTTATCAGATTATAGCTACCAGTTGGGTCAGCTGTGCCCATAATGAATCTTATTAATTTCTTTTCCTGCCTATTGATTTTTATTTGGTTAATAAATAATAGCTAGAGTACTCTAGATTTTTTTCCAGGAGAATATGAGTCTCTTCTAAACCTTCTCCTTAAAAGAGAATTGACCAGGCTTGGTGACACAGCCTGTAATCCCAGCACTTTGGGAGGCCGAGGTGAGTGGATTGCCTGAGCCCACAGGTTTGACTCTAGCCCAGACAATTTGGTGAGACTTCATCTCTACAACAAATAAAAAATTAGCTGGGCGTGGTAGTGTGTGCCTGTAGTTCCGGCTATTTGAAAGACTGAGACAGAAGGATCGCCGGATCCCAGCAGGTCGATGCTGGGGTGGCTGTGAGTGTGCCACTGCACTCCAGACTGGGTGACAAAATGAGACTCCAACCAGCCGGGCTTGGTGGCTCAGCCTGTAATCCCGCGCCTTTGGGAGGCTGAGGTGAGTGGATTGCCTGAACCCGCGGGTTCGAGACCCACCTGGGCAGCGAGACCTCATCTCTACAATAAATCAAAAAATTAGCTGGGCGTGCTAGCACGCGCCTGTAATTCCGGCTACTTGGAAGGCTGAGGCGGAAGAATCGCCAGAGCCCAGCAGGTCGAGGCTGCGGTGGCCAGGAGCGGCCACTGCACTCCAGTCTGGGCGACAGAGTGAGACTCCAACTCAAAAAAAAAAAAAAAAAAAATGAGACTCCAGCTTAAAAGAGAGAGAGAGAAAGAACTGATAGTTTTTCGCATTGACCTTTAGAAGCATCTTGCTTTCAGGTTTTTTGACTATCAGAGGGTTAATTCTTTGTTGTAAGCCACATACATCCGTAGCATAACTTTCTGTATACACTAATTGCCTCTCAGCTTATAAAGTGTTGACTGATAAATCTAAATTATAGTAGATTGTTACTATGCAAGGAAACTGTCTTAGGGAATCAAATGATATCTGCTAGTAAAGGCAAAATTAATATTATTTAGGATCCTTGGTTGTAATCCCATGTGTGCTTTTTGTACATAATTTTTATTAGATTATTTATTTGAGATTTTAGGCATGTTAGCATTAAAAATGTACCCTTAGCTGGGCTCGGTGGCTCAGCCTGTAATCCCAGCACTTTGGGAGGCCGAGGGGAGTGGAT